CAAAAGGATTGGGCATACAGTTCTGGAATAGGTGACAAAATTACACAGTTACTACATGCAGAATTGTTATCTTCCCTGATGTTGCATGTTTGGGACTTAAGAACTGCTCCAGAAGCTCCATGATGTTCATCCTATACAGACATATATTCATAGGACCAACTTCTCTCCCAGGTCCTCCACTGGGACAAGGGCCACCTGATATGTCTTTGTCTTGGTGAACACCTTAGTATCGTTTTATGTCATCTCTTTCCTCTATTCAGTTTATGTGGTGGTTTTGGAGAATCCTAGTTGCTGGCTCTTGAACACCTCTGCTCTAATGACTTCATGTTTCTCAACCCTCAGCCCCTTTGACAGTTGGCACCCCCATTTATCCTGGTTCTGTTGTGTTTCCTTTACCTGTAGAAGTTACATAAACTCTCCCAACCTTGGGGCACCTGGGTAGCTCAATCAGTTAAGTGGCTGACTCTTGATTTCTGCTCAGGTCATGATCTCAGGGTTCTAGGACTGAGCCCTCAGTCAGGCTCCATGCTTAGCCAGGAGTCTGCTGGAGGATTCTCTCTCTCCCTCTGCCTCTGCCCCTCTTTCCACATGCTCCCTCTTTCTCTAAAATAAATAAATCTTTAAAAAAAGATGTTTAAAAAATCTCTCAATCTTATATGAAAGATCTAATTTTATGTTTTTCCCCCACAATTACAGTCACTTCTTCAGTCATCCATATCAGAATTTTAAGCTCCAATGAGCCGTCACTTAACTGTAAGAGTGTGAACAGTATGAGTCTCTGCCCACATAAGATTTATAATTTAGTGTTTAGAACCTATGGTAGAAAGAATAATGCCCCCCAACACACACAAAAGATATCCACATTCTAATTCCTGGAACCTGTGAATATGTTCCCTTATAAGGCCAATAGGACTGTGGAGATGTGATTAAATTAAGGATCTTGAGATGAAGAGAATATCTTAGATTATCTATGTGGGACAAGGCTCAAAGAAAGTTGGTGTCAGAGTGAAGGGATATGAGAAAGACTTGAATAAAGATCAACTTTGTCAGTGAGAGGACATTATGACACGAATATATAAATTCTTAACAATAGTAATTTATAAACTCAATGCAATATGGATAAAGGCCCACCAACATATGTGTATGTATGTGGGGGTGTTACATGTTTTATATCCAAAAATGTTGAGTCCCCCATACTAGAGTTAAATGCATAGTAGTTACACCTAGATGAAATTTAGTTTGAGTATGTCATTGGGTTTCCCATTGCCTTCCTAGGCTCAGGGTGGGGCAGTTTCCAGGGGAATTCAGACCCACTGTAAGATGCCTACTGGTTGTCAGAAACCCATCATTTACCCCTATTCTGTTTAATAGATTTCCATCCACAAAAACAAGTGACCGTAGGCTCTGGCAGCAACTCAGGGGATTCTAAAGTTGTTCCTATGAGAAAAGAGGTTTCTGACTGTGGATATGATGGCTGCCTACTTGCATTCCCCCTGTAGATGCTCTTGTAAAAATGGCTTCCTTTTTATTATGGAATACTTACGAGCACTGCATCTCATATTACAGCGTTTCTTCAACATTGTCCAAAACATTATCAGAATTTCATGTCTCAATATTATTTTATGTCCTTCAGTCCCAGGGGCCATCTTAATGAACACCCAGTAGCAAGCTAGTAACTGTATCTCAGATGGTATATATCATGCCCCAGCATCCAAAAATTTTCTGGTCCCAAATCTTAGTGGTCACCATTAGGTGGCACTCAAAGGCTTTTGCCATTAATTCCAATTTGCATTACTATGCATTGCAGCCATTTCCAAAATCATTTCTGAATGGATCACAGGGTTTCAAAGACAGACAGACAGAGATTGAGAGACACTACTTTTTATAAACGAGAAATGACCTGTCTTTCTTAGGTCCTAATTCAAATATGGACTCCTTTTGGAAATAGTTTCATGGCTAAGAGTTAGCAATATTCCCAGATGTAGAATATGCATCTTTTCCAATCCAAATAGACCAGTCAAACATTGGACTTCTTGTTTAGTTCTAGGGGTAGGTAAGGATATCAGTTTCTTTTTAGTCACCCATGAATCATCATGGGTGGCTTCTGCCCAGAATATTCCTAACAATTTCACCATTTGGGTAAGTCCCTAGATCTTTTGGATTTAACGAGTCTCTTGGTACCACTAATGCATTTAGGTCAGTTCTACCTAGCTTATTCTTCAGTTTCTGAAATTCTTATATCATCAATATAGCGTATTATTACACCCAGGACCTATATTAAAGCCAAATCCCTTCTAACCAAATTGAGACAGCAAACTGGTGAATTCAAGTAATTGTGGCAATGGAGCAAACGTAAACTATGATCCTTCTTACATGAAGCTAAACTGTAGTTAGCTCTTTTCTGAGATAAGGCTGAGAAAAGAAACATTTGCACAATCAGTGAGGACCAGTCTCCTTTAGCCTGCTGAAATTCTTGCACTGTTGGAATCATGTGAGGGACGGCTGATGCTATGGGTGGCATTGCTTTATTTAAGCTTCAGTAGTCTGTTGTTAGTCTCCATGAGCCATCTACTTTTTTTCATGAGTCATACAGGGCTATTGCACAGAGAATTTGTTGGTACCAGCATGCCAGCTTTACACATGTCACCAGGAGAGTCTATGCTGCTTCATTCTTCACCCTGATTAATTTAGCAGACTATGGTCCCAGGGTCCCTGGTGATTCAAGGTAAGGTCAGGTTTCTCATCGTCATCTTTATTTTCTAGCTGGTGGGTTGAGTTTAATGAACTCTTCTTCCAAACATAAAGTCCACAACGGCCCCAGTGTGGCTCATGGCCACTTAGCCTCATCGCCTTTCCACCTTTCTCCACCGTGTTCAAGTTAGAAACAGACTGGATTTTACTAAACTCCGCACCAACAAATCCTGCCCCTACCACCCACATCTTTTTCCTCCTTCCATTAGAAGATGACCTGTAATGGCAGCTGCCCCTCAGTGCCACCACATTTCTTTCTGCATGTTTGCTTCCTGTAGGGTTGGATTTCCCACACATGGAAGGATAAAATTCAGCTTTGTTAGCCTTAAAGATAAAAACTGGTTATTTTACAACAAAAGATGGGTTTATTTGAGAATAAAAGAGAATTGCAATCTGGGACAAACAAGCTACTGCAAAACCCTAAGCAAGAATGGGGAACAAAAGAGAGATGCTTTTTTTTTTTTTTTTTAAGATATGCTTTATAAGGAGAAAAGGGTTAAGTTGGGAAGGCCATGACAAACTAACAGCCCACTGGTGTCAACTGGGAGTTCAAAGTATGGCAGCTTTTCATTGGCTGAGCTGTTGCCCAGGTTGGGGGGATTAGAGTAGTAGAGTGGTATCCAAGTGCAAGGTCAAGTCCCTCTTTTCCTATTGGGTCTGCAATTGATCAGGAAGGCTAGGGCATGAGAGCTCCCCCCTGCCAAAAGTTCCTAAGTCCATTTTAGTGAGGTTTCTCGTTATTGATTTTCACAGCATCTAAACAAAGCACAGCTTTGGCTGTTCTCTAATGGATAAGATTTCTGCTAGCCAAATAGATGTTGTCACCTAGTCTTAAAGGCCACAGTATGTTCCTTCTCAAATTTCTGTCAGTCTGCTACAGTAGTAGGCAGACCCTTTATCGCCTCACTCTGTTTGGGGACCTCCAGGAAACACCTTACATCATTAGTTCCATCAACTGATGAGTTGGTTGGTAATGGAATAATTGACCACCCACCCCATCCCACAGGCACTAAGTGTCTGTGAACACCCTGGGTGGGGGTACCAACTGCAGGTATTGGGACACAAGGATGGCCCAAAGTGGGAAGAGCCTGTCTGGCTTGTGCTTGTTTTCACTGTTAGAAGAACTTCTGCGGGCTTGTTTCTCATATTCAGCTTTTATTCCCTGTCATGCCCCCTGACAAGCTCTACACACTTGAGGGTGACACCCACCTCTCCATTCTTTGTTGGCCAAAGTTGTCACTAGGACCCAGGCCAGGAGTATGTTTTCCACCCTCTCTTCACACCTGGAAGTGACAAAAAAGGAAGAGAAGAGGAGCAAAGGAGAGCAGAGAACACAGAAGGGGTGGAGGTGGGGAAAAGAAGAGGAGGGAAGGAGAAGGCAGACAGGGTGGAGAGTGGCTGGGAAGGTGAGTGGCACATCAGCTAGTGTGCTCCCCTGGCCCAGTTTGCCCAGGACTTTCCCAGTTTTAGGACGAAAAGTCCTGTTTCTCAGGAACCTGGTCAGGCCAGGGAAAAGCAGGACAGCTGGTTGCCTGAGCTGCGGCAATTACGGGAGAGCCTGTGTGACCCAACAGAATCTGGCAGAAGTAACCGTCTGTCATTTCTGAGGTTAGGTTATGAAAGATAATGGATTCCCCCTGAGATTCCCTCTTTCCTTCCTGAACCACTTGCCCTGGGGGAAGCCAGCTGCCCTGTTGTAAACATGTCCAAGGAGAGGCTTCGTCCCGACGATCACCTGAGTGATCACATTCCAGTTTCCATCGCTTGCAAGACACACGTCTCCACCTGCTCGCACCGAAAGATTTTGAATTTAGCCATTCTCAACTTTTTGAGCATACCTCCGCTTCTAATACAAGCGGCCCTCATAACTCCCTTTTACTTTAGATTTATAAACATTAACTTAGAACAGGCAGGAAGCAGCTCTCCTCCACAGCGATCAAAAAAAGGCTGAGAAACAAGCACGGCGGGGCGGGACTAACAGACCCACGAGCTCGCCCCGCCCCCACGCGCGCTGCCTGCCCAATCTCAACCATTCTTCGCGGCCCTGCCCGAGTCCCGCCCCCTGCACCCTCCTTTCCCGTCTGCGCGTGTGCAGTCGCCGGCCGACCCGGAAGTGAATTGAGCTGAGTGACAGAAACGTTCGGGGGAGTGAAATTTCGGACGTCCAGTTTCAAACCCGTGCTTGGCGCGCCCGCAGCCTCCAGTCTTCCACGCCGGGGTTCTCTGGAGGTTGCAACTGCGGTCGTCGCCTTCCTGCCCACGACGAGTCCCGGCGTCGCCGTGAGTCGTTCCGAGGCCTGGTGGCGCCGGGTCGCGGCGTCGGCGTCCGCGGCCGCTTCTAGCCCCTCGATTCGTGGAGACCGCGGCTTCGGCGGCTTCACTGCCCTCCGGGTCCTCCGTCCCGGATCCGCGAAGGTCGGGGCTGTGTTCTGTGCGGCGTTTGCTGGGGGCCGCTGCAGCCGGGCAGTGAGCTGGGGGGGGAAAGCGGAGAAAGCGCCCCACTGGCTGGTCTCGGTGTGCGCCAGCCCCTCCTGGGGCGGTGGGCGGCAGAGGAGTGCCTTTTTGCTGGTTGAGGTCCTCCCTCTGCGTGCGGTTGTGCCACAGGAAGGGGGTATGTGCCTTCTAGGCATTAGGCAGCCTGGGTTCGGCGCTCACCGTCCCCTTGTCAAGACGGATCTTATCCGAGAATTAGGTCCAGAAGAGGAGGAAAGGAAGAGGGGGCAAAAATGACGCGTTCCCAGGTAAAATTCACATTCTCTCTTTTTTTTAAAAAATATTTAATTTATTTGACACAGAGAGACACGGCGAGAGAGGGAACACAAGCAGGGGGAGCGGGAGAGGGAGAGGCCGGCTCCCCGCGGAGCAGGGAGCCCCATGCGGGGCTCGATCCCAGGACCCCGGGACCCTGACCTGAGCCGAAGGCAGACGCTGAACGACTGAGCCACCCAGGCGCCCCTAAAATTCACATTCTTGGTTGTTCCTTCTCTCTTTCCTGAAATGCTGGGGGTTTTTTTGGACTTGGTAATGTGCTCTCAAGCTCTCAAGGGTCCTGCCTAACGTTTGCTAGAACTCACCCCGGCCTTGCCTCGGTGCCTGTCATCTCCACTTACATCCCGTCTCACCATGACCCAGAGACGTGGAACCTGTGAAGAGGCCCTGTTGGGGGATTATCATGGGCAGGGTTTCATACGCAGGTGTGAATCAGAAACTGGGAGTGGGACTTTGGTGTCACTGCGGCTGGCCAAGGGGATTGTTTTAGGAGTTGCATATGAACGCATTGTCAGTTCCTTGTAGAGCTGCGTAAAGAAGAACTGCGTTAAGAAAAACAGCGTTAGGGCGCCTGGGTGGCTCAGTTGGTTAAGCGACTGCCTTCGGCTCAGGTCATGATCCTGGAGTCCCGGGATCGAGTCCCGCATCGGGCTCCCTGCTCAGCAGGGAGTCTGCTTCTCCCTCTGACCCTCCCCCCTCTCATGTGCTCTCTCTCTCATTCTCGCTCTCTCAAATAAATAAATAAAATCTTTAAAAAAAAAAAAAGAAAGTTAAAAAAAAAGAAAAACAGCGTTAAGCGAAATAAGTCACGCAGAGGAAGACAAATATCGTATGGTTTCACTCATGTGTGGAATTTAAGAAACAAAACAGATGAACATATGGGAAGGGGGAAAAACAGAGAGAGAAGGAAACAAACCATAAAAGACTCTTAATGATAGAAAACAAACTTAGGGGTGATGGAGGGAGGTAGGTGGGTGATGGGTATTTAGGAGGGCTCTTGTCCTGTTGAGCACTGGGTGTTACATGTAAGCGGTGAATCACTAAATTCTCCTGAAAACAATATTACACTACATGTAAACTCACTAGAACTTAAATACAAATTTGAAAAAGAAGGAAAAAAAAACTGCACATTAATGTGCTATATTAATGTGCAGGAACAGCTGGAAAATGAGACTAAGAAAGGGAAACCTATTGTTCCTGATTTTACAAGGCATTTGAAGCTAAACAAGTGAATCAGCATGTTTCTGGCTCTAAAATATTAATGATTTGGATTACAATGGAAAGTTCTGAAACATATCAATGATAAAGGATGTTTTATTGTATAATTTGTTTTAACAGTATGTTCTTTAATATCACTCACAGCATATCCATCCCATGAGGACCCTTGTTCATTCAGGGACTTTTGTGTAGCAGGTGTTTTACCTAAAAATGTTTCAGCTATTATATTGGAGCAAAAAATTAGTCTTTGTCATCAGAGTGGATGGAGCCAAATTCTGTTTCCACCAATTGTTACTAAAATATTACATTTTTTAAATTTTTATTTTATTTTTATTTTTTTTTTTAATTTTAAGGATTTTATTTATTTGACAGAGAGAGACACAGCGAGAGAGGGAACACAAGCAGGGGGAGTGGGAGAGGGAGAAGCAGGCCTCCCCCTGAGCAGGGAGCCCAATGCAGGGCTCGATCCCAGGACCCTGGGATCATGACCTGAGCCGAAGGCAGACGCTTAATGACTGAGCCACCCAGGTGCCCCTGATTTAAACATTACATACCATGTATCTTTGTTTTGAGGTAAAACTCCACAGTGTTGCACATTTTGGACTAAGAAGTAAAACATCTCCTTCCCTGTCATGCCCCCCATCATCACTCACCACTTTTGTAATCACTATTGTCTGTTCTATGGAAGATTAAGTGTATGTCTTATAAAAATGTATTTACCTATCATTAGCAGATTTTAGTTAAAATTCTTCAGTGAAGGGGCACCTGGGTGGCTCAGTCGGTTAAGCGACTGCCTTCGGCTCAGGCCATGGTCCCAGGGTCCTGGGATCGAGCCCCGCATCGGGCTCCCTGCTCCGTGGGAGGCCCGCATCTCCCTCTCCCACTCCCCCTGCTTGTGTTCCCTTTCTCGCTGTCTCTCTCTCTCTAATAAATAAAATCTTTAAAAAAAAAAAAAAAACTCTTCAGTGAATGTTATATTGTGATGTTTTATTCTATACATATACCTTGGAGTTGTTTTCGTGCTAATACACATAGAGATAGCTTGTTCTTTTAGATCCTCATTAAAACATTCTCTGGATGAAGACACATGGATCCCACGTGATTCACAATGTCCAGACATTGTGTGCAGTGATGAATAGCAGGAGTCCTGGCCATCATCCCTTGTGTCAGCCTCAGTTTTAGTGGAAATGCTTCTGTTGTTTACTGTCAATCATGATGTTTACTGGAATTTCCTTACTTGATGCCTCTAATTTTTTTTTAGCATGATTTTTAGTTATTCAATAATTTCTTAAAAGAGCTAATGCTTTCATAATTTTTTTCTATTTTAATTTATTAAATGTAGAATATTAATAAATTTTATAATCTTCAAGCATTGTTTTATTATTGGATAAACTCCACTTGGCTTATGTTTAAATGGGCATTTAAATGGGCAAAATTTTGATATTTACATATAGGTATTTAGTGGAAAAGGTAAAGTTTTCTATTTTCATTTTTGTATTTTTTTAACTAGGCTAGTACAGAGTAATGTTGACAACAACCTAATTAAAAATAAGTACAATTTCAGGGGCGCCTGGGTGGCTCAGTCATTAAGCCTCTGCCTTCGGCTCAGGTCATGATCCCAGGGTCCTGGGATCGAGCCCCGCGTCGGGCTCCCTGCTCCGCGGGAAGCCTGTTTCTCCCTCTCCCACTCCCCCTGCTTGTGTTCCCTCTCTTACTGTGTCTCTCTCTGTCAAATAAATAAATAAAATCTTTAAAGAAAAAAAAGTACAATTTCTAAATGTCCATTTTACCAAAAATACTGAAATACACGAGTAAAAAAAAAATTTAAAAAAACTCATCCCAAAAATCTGTCTGCAAGGACTACTTTTACTGAAATTGTGTTTATGTGTGTGTGGGTGTATGCGAGTAGAAACCTCTGGTGTATATAAAAGATGCATTGTTTCATAAATAACTTTTATATTTATTTTAAGCTTTGAAAATTATTCCTAGGAATTTTTCGTGGCCTTAAATTTTTTTCTCTACTAACTCATTAGTGAATTAATAGTGGTAACAGTAATAACATACTACATATGTGCATAGATAATGACATTTTCTGCAGGTCCCTGTTTTTAGCTTTGAATTTGTTTCATGTTTTCTCACTTAGGAAGCCCGCTAAAAGTAGAGAACTACTTTTAACACTGTATCTGTTACTTAACTGTGTGATTCTTCAGATTCAATTCTAAATTCAGAACACCTGGTTAAGGTGCCGGCTCTGCCCTTTCTTAGTTATCTGACCCGAGGCTAGTTTCTTAGAGTCTCTGTGACAATTGCCTCCTCTATAAGGTGGACACAGATATTTCTCTAATATTATTACACAAAATAATACCCATTTGAGTAATGTTTAGCACATCATAAATGTTTAAAAACTTTTTGTTTCTGCCATTATAATCATCACATTCTTACATTTTATGCTTTCTTAAAAGGCACTGTCAACTTTGTAATCTTTAAAGACACTACTCATAGTGTAGCTCATCAGAGAAATAATTGGTGTGTAAAATGTATTATCTAGCATGTCTATATAGTCCATCTTGTGATGCATTTTTTATTTATATATTTTGTTCACAAAATTGTGGAACGCACAGTGATTTTGTGGATTTATGTATTCTGGTTGAGAAGTATAATAACACAAAATTAGGGATATATGATTTGCTCAAAATTATCTTATACTGATTTGTCACCACAGCCAAATCAATCCTTAACACCTCTCTCCTATAATTTGTGTGAAGATAAGAACTCTCCCTGTGGTCTCTTAGTTTAATGTGTTTGTCGTTACAGGTGCTGTTGACCTTCAGGGATGTGGCCATAGAATTCTCTCCGGAGGAGTGGGAGTGCCTGGACCCTGCTCAGAGGGCCTTGTACAGGGACGTGATGGTGGAGAACTACAGGAACCTGGTCTCCCTGGGTGAGGATAGTTTCCCTCCAGAAGTCGGGATCTGCCCCAGTGAGTTTCTTGGGGGCCCCTGCCCTGCTTGACTGTGATTGAAGCTATATTGACTCTGAATTGAAAGCTTCATGTGGTGGCACCTGGACTTTCATCTCCTCCTTTCTTCAGATGGTCTGCCCACTCCTCACTAGATTAGTGTTGCTTTTACCACTTGAGTAATCATAAAACCTTGTAACAAAATTTTAAAATATTGCATTCCCTGGTTTTACTTCCCTGCATTTGAGTCAGTAAATCCAGAAGAGAGCTAGATGCCTATACATGTAAAATACTTCCTAAGCCAGTCAGTGGACGAACTTAGTGTAGACTCTTCCATCCTCTGCTGAACAAAGGCTGGGATTATATTCTGGAAAAGCCCCAACATGTAACTCTCCTTTTTTATGAGCAGGAATCTCTCTGACTGAATGTTATCTCCATTTTGGAGCCAGGGACAGAGCCGAGGGCTGTGGAGGGTGAGGTGAAAATAGAGAAGAAACCAAGTGGGTGGGACTATATCCAAGAGGTGAACACTGGTAACAGCTGAGATGGTCAGAGATGAAACTGCTTCATGAAATATTGTTTGAGAAACGTTCCCCAAAGAGGAGAGGTCTATGAGAAAAGAAAAGTACTTGTGAGCACTCAGAGGAAATCTCCCCCATTACTCTGTTCTGCAGACACGGCATTCCAGCTGATGCAGAGACAATGGCAGTCTTTATCATGACCTGCAACACTGTTACCTGGCTGCTGTGACCTTTTTGGTCCCTTGGCTTTGAGAGGGATGAGAAGGGCTGTTTATAGGGGTCCTCTTTTCCTCTGGTCTCTCCTTCCATACTTGATACCATCTGATTCCGGCTGATCCATCAGTTCCTCCACAGTCCTGACGCCAGGACCTGTCTGGGTTTCATCCTCAGTTCCTCTGTCCGGGAGATAGGAAAACATTGGCTCCTCCTCCACTGCACTTGGGGCCCCAAGGCTGCATGGGACTGTCTCAAGGCCTCCTAGCCATTTTGTCAGGCCTGCTTTTGCCACACATCAAGAGTATAACCAGGCAATGGGGTGGATCTTCTGAGACGGCTAGTCAGCAGTACTCTACAGATAGTGGACAGAGAGGTTGGCTCTTTGAAACCCAGTCCTACATGGGGAGGACTTGGTTTGGTTTGGTTTTCTCAAAGACCCTGCAAGATCGAACCCATTGCTTTACTTCTGTTATCGTGCTTTATTCTCCGTCCTGCACCCTGCCTAGGCTAGTGATGCAGATAAAATTTGGCTCGTACAGATTCTATATTTTCCTAAGTCTGTGCAATTTTGCTTTTGAAACATGTTTTCCTAGGGTCTGAAATATCCTCTTTTTCTGCTGTGATAACCCACTTTTAGTTGATGGACAACTTCTGGTGAACTTATCCGTGGAGGGGGTCTATTGGGTAACAAAATTTTTGAAGGAGAATACTTTGATTAATGTATTACAGGGCTGTCCTGCCACTTACAGAAGTGCCCAGTGAAGCCCCTGAGTGGAGTGGTCAGCAAGTCCTAAGGAGGCTGAGATAGAAAGTATCAGGAGAGTCTGACTGATGAGTGATTATAGTTCTCTTTCTGCTCTTTGTGGAGTGTCACAGAGTCTCTCAAGGGCCGTGTGGCAATGTTGCTCACATATCTAATGATTATTCCCTTTGAGCCAGCAATCATAGATGTACGAACTTATCCCAAGGAGAACATTGTTGCAACTGTTTATCTGTGAGGCTTTGACCAAACTAGGGTTCGTGCCAAATTGTTTACCCCCTGCATGCCACAGTGTTCTTTCCTCCAAACAGATATGATTGGATGCATATGAGGGAACTTACGAAGTTAAGTGATGCTTCTTTTTTCTTTTTTTTTAATTCCAGGATTTTTAATATACAGTGTTATATTAGTTTCAGGTGTACAATTTTATGCCTCCATTTTTAAATTCTAATTTGTTGTGTTTAAACCACTGCAGTTTTCATCATGTACATTTCCATGAATTAAAAATAAACTAAAAAATTTAATCATTAATTACCTATTTTTGATGACACTCAGAATTCTGTTTTATAGCTCTGGTTTGTGGGCCGCTAGATCAAGGAATAAATATTTTAAAATATATATTACAAGATTTGCTTCTTGAGTGTTGATGGTTATGGCTCAGCAACAGTTTCCCCAAAACCTATTCAAACTCCTGAATTTTGTGAAAAAATTATCTTAGTCCCTTTATTTCTCTTTCACGTGATTTGCCTATTATTAAAGTACCCCTTTCTCAAATTGATTGGATTTGTAAAATTGGGAATATTGGATATCTTTTTTTTTTTTGAAAGATTTAATTATTTTATTTGAAAGAGAGAGAAACAGCATGAGAGTGGAGAGAGTCAGAGGGAGAAGCAGGCTCCCTGCTGAGCCAGGAACCCGATGTGGGACTCGATCCCAGGACTCCGGGATCATGACCTGAGCCGAAGGCAGTCGCTTAACCAACTGAGCCACCCAGACGCCCGGGAATGTTGGATATCTTGAGAAAATATCTTTTTTTTTTAATTACTGTGTTCATCCTAGAAATCATTAAATTGATTTGCCATAATTTGTTACATAGGATATCTTGCTTATTCTGTAGTATAATTTAAGTTTTCTAAATACAACTTCTTGGATTTTATTTGAATTTTACTGACTTTTGTATTTTGGTACAAAATCCTTTATTCTAATAATTAATTTCCCTGTGTAGATTCATCAGGTACACATCTTATTATACTAAGCTAATGTTTGACTTCCTCATTGTATTTTTATTTATTTTTTATTATGTTATTTAATCACCATACATTACATCATTAGTTTTTGATGTATTTTATTGGGAAGTTAGCCAGTCTCTTCCACTCCATGTACATCCTCACCACTATTGCTTATAACTCGTTGTGTTTTTCACAAAATTTTTCATGTTCTGGAAATTACATTCTTCAGTTAACACTTGAAGCTGTTTTGATCTTCGTCTTTTAAACTGGGTTCCGTAAAAAGTTCACCTGGTCCTTGTTGACCCTCATGTCAGTACTCTCCTGCTCTCTGACTACAGCCAACTGCTGATGTTGCTGGCCACCTCTGTGCACATCTAACTCCTGCATGGCACTGCCAAAAGTTGCTTCTGCAGTCCCCTGCTACTAACACTGCCCTTTGGTAAAATCCATTCCCCACTGTGTGTCATTAAGTTATTTTCCCTTTGAGGTTGCCTATGTTGTGGTGATAGTTAACAGAGTCAGAATTTATTAATTTTGGATAAGGACATATAACTTCCATTGATCCACAATAATAACTATATATCTGCCTATATATAGTAAGAGCATCCCTCACCTCGGGCGCCTGGGTGGCTCAGATGGTTAAGCGTCTGCCTTCGGCTCAGGTCATGATCCCAGGGTCCTGGGATCGAGTCCTGCATCGGGCTGCCTGCTTCTCCCTCTGCTTCTCTCTCTCTCTCTCTCCCTCTGTCTCTCATGAATAAATAAATAAAATCTTAAAAAAATAAAATAAAAAATAAAGAGCATCCCTCACCTCATGTCTCCTTATGCCAGCAGTTGTGTGAAGAGATCCAAATATATGAGTTCAGATAATTAGAGGAGGCTGCAAAAGAAGCTCTATGATTATTTTTTAAAGATTTATTTATTTGAGAGAGAGAGGAAGAGGAAGAGCATGAGCAGGAGGGGCAGAGGGAGAGGGAGACTATCAAGCAGACTCTGCACTGAGCATGGAGCCCACCGTGGAGCTCAATCCCAGGACCCTGATACCATGACTTGAGCTGAAACCAAGAGTTGGATGCTTAACCAGCTGTGCCACCAGCACTATGATTTTTATATAACAAACAAGCACACTTAGCCTCAAAAAGGTTAGCATGCCAAATTGGTAAATTTATATTTATAAAACATGTAATTAATAATTTGGTTGGTATGTTATTTCTTTTTAGCTAATCTATCCACATCTCCCCCAAAGTTCAGACCTTGACAAAACCTGCTACCTTTGTTTCCCTCCAGCAAGCTCTTTGTCCTCCCCACCGGGGATTCATCATCTTGCATCCATGTCACTCTCCATTGCTGAATTCTTGACAGACTTTAATGGCATCTGTATGTGTATGTAGAGTGAGTTCATCCATTCTCCCCTTGATGGCCGTGTCCAGACTTTGGTTGCCTTTTAAGAACACTTTAAACATGTCTCATGGAATATATATGTAGGACTCTCTTGAGTAAATGCTTATAAATAGAAAGCCAGGGATATCCCATTTGAGAAATTTCAGGGAAGGTATTAGAATAGAGGTAAACCTGTATTCGTTCCACTGTATCATGGTAATTGCCTTCCTCATATCTTCCATTCTCTCCTGTCCCCCCACACCCAGAGTACATTTCCCACAGAATGGGTCAATATTGTGCCACTTGCTAAATCAGTTCATGTCTTCTTCTAAGATAAAGAATTTTACTGTCCTAGCGCAATTGTATTCCCATAAATTTGCAAGCACAGGCTCTGTTCTTCCACCTTCCCCCAGATCGTTCATTGATCTGGATGAAGCACACTGTTTCTTCCTTAGCATATTAATTTTGAGCCCTTGGACACCCAAGTCTCCTCAGCAGCCCCTGTCCTTACCCCTTCTGCATTTTATAAAGATCCCTACTCTTCCAGAGGACAGCTAGTTCAGGATAGCACCATGCCTAGTCACTGTCTAAATCAACACATTCAGGAAGTGATGACTCAGATGCTCTTATCCAGGTGGGATGAGTCAGTAACGATATTAGGAACACAACTCAATTCCTGTAGTTTTCTTGAAGCATTTCCCTGTATGCTGGTGAGGTTTGCTATGACCTTTACTCACTTCCTGAGTGGGCAGTAATGTTTAGTGCTCAAGAACATGTGGTCTGGGCCTGCAGGCCCAGGTTCAAATTTTGGCTTTCACATTTTTTTCTGTGTGAATTAGTGTTGGGTACATAAACACGATGGGCCCGTTGTTTTTATCTGAAATATTATGATAACGTATCTTGAGAATATTTTAAATATGTTAATGCTGTTAGATTTTGAACATTGTATAACATATAGCAAGTACTGGAAATTTGCTTTTCTTTGCTAATACTTCTTGACCTCCTCCTATGTTTAATATGTGATTGACCTTTGTCTGCAGTATATTGTTTGTATTCGTTTTGTAACTTATTTCATCTCAGTGTTGTTTCTTAGTAAATTTTCAAGGCACATACTCTGTGGTATATGTATTCTGTGACACAGAATCGCATTATTAAATGCTGCTTCACAGTTAGAAAATAGCTCTATTGGAATACAATGGCACTAAATTCATATCTTTCAATAGTGACCCTGAATGTAAATGGGCTAAATGCCCCAATCAAAAGACACAGAGTATCAGATTGGATAAAAAAACAAGACCCATCAATATGCTGTCTGCAAGAGACTCATTTTAGACCCAAAGACACCCCCAGATTGGAAGTGGGGGTGGAAAACCGTTTACCATGCTGATGGACATCAAAAGAAAGCTGGGGTGGCAATCCTTATATCAGACAAGTTAGATTATAAACCAAAGACTATAATAAGAGATGAGTAAGGACACTATATCCTACTTAAAAGTTCTATCCAACAAGATCTAACCATTTTAAATATCTATGCCCCTAACATGGGAGCAGCCAATTATATAAGCCAATTAATTAACAAAATCAAAGAAACACAACAACAACAATACAATAATACTGGGGGACTTTAACACCCCCCTCACTGAAATGGACAGATCATCTAAGCAAAAGATCAACAAGGAAATAAAGACTTTAAATGACACACTGGACCAAATGGACTTCACAGATATATTCAGAACTTCCATCCCAGAGCAACAGAATACACATTCTTCTCTAGTGCCCATGGAACATTCCCCAGAATAGATCACATCCTAGGTCACAAATCAGGGCTCAACCGGTACTAAAAGATTGGGATCATTCCCTGCATATTTTCAGACCACAGTGCTTTGAAACTAGAACTCAATCACAAGAGGAAAATCAGAAAGAACTCAAATACATGGAGGCTAAAGAGCCTACTAAAGAATGAATGGGTCAACCAGGAAATTAAAGAAGAATTAAAAAAATTCATGGAATGAAATTTGAAAATGAAAATGAAAACACAACTGTTCAAAATCTTTGGGATGCAGCAAAGGCGGTCCTAAGAGGAAAGTATATAGCAATACAAGCCTGTCTCAAGAAACAAGAAAGGTCTCAAATACACAACCTAACCCTACACCTAAAGGAGCTGGAGAAAGAACAGCAAATAAAGCCTAAACCCAGCAGGAGAAGAGAAATAATAAAGATCAGAGCAGAAATCAATGAACTAGAAACCAAAAGAACAGTAGAACAGACCAATGAAACCAGGAGCTGGTTCTTTGAAAGAATTCACAAGATTGATAAACCCCTGGCCAGACTGATCAAAAAGAAAAGAGAAATGACCCAAATCAACAAAATCATGAATGAAAGAGGAGAGATCACAACCAACACCAAAGAAATACAAACAATTATAAGAACATATTATGAGCAACTCTATGCCAGCAAATTAGATAATCTGGAAGAAATGAATGCATTCCTAGAGATGTATCAACTACCAAAATTGAACCAGGAAGAAATAGAAAACCTGAACAGACCTATAACCACTAAGGAAATTGAAGCAGTAATAAAAAATCTCCCAACAAACAAGAGCCCAGGGCCAGATAGCTTCCCAGGGGAATTCTACCACACATTTAAAGAAGAATTAATACCTATTCTACTGAAACTGTTCCAAAAAATAGAAATGGAAGGGAAACTTCCAAACTCATTTTATGAGGCCAGCATTACCTTGATCCCAAAATCAGACAAAGACCCCATCAAAAAGGAGAATTACCGACCAATATCCCTGATGAACATGGATGCAAAAATTCTCACCAAAATACTAGCCAATAGAATCCAACAGTACATTAGAAGGATTATTCGCACCAAGTGGGATTTATCCCTGGGCTTCAAGGTTGGTTCAACATCCGCAAATCAATCAATGTGATACAATACATTAACAAAAGAAAGAACAAGAACCATATGATCCTCTCAATAGATGCAGAAAAAGCATTTGACAAAGTACAGCATCCTTTCTTGATCAAAATCTTCAGAGTATAGGGATAGAGGGTACATACCTCAATATCATAAAAGCCATCTATGAAAAACCCACAGTGAATATCATTCTCAATGGGGAAAAACTGAAAGCTTTCCCCCTAAGGTCAGGAACACGGCAGGGATGTCCACTGTCACCACTGTTGTTCAACATAGTACTAGAAGTCCTAGCCACAGCAGTCAGACAACAAAAAGAAATCAAAGGCATCCAAATTGGTAAAGAAGTCAAACTCCCACTCTTTGCAGATGATATGATACTTTATGTGGAAAACTGAAAAGACTCCACCCCAAAACTACCAGAACTCATATAGGAATTCAGTAAAGTGGCAGGATATAAAATCAATGCACAGAAATCAGTGGCATTTCTATACACCAACAACAAGACAGAAGAAAGAAATTAAGGAGTCGATCCCATTCACAATTGTACCCAAACCATAAGATACCTAGGAATAAATCTAACCAAAAAGGCAAAGAATCTGTACTCAGAAAACTATAGAATACTCTTGAAAGAAATTGAAGAAGACACAAAGAAATGGAAAAATGTTCCATGCTCATGGATTGGGAGAACAAATATTGTGAAGATGTCAATGCTACTTAGAGCAATCTACACATTTAATGCAATCCCTATCAAAATACCATCAACTTTTTTCAAAGAAATGGAACAAATAATCTAAAATTTGTATGGAACCAGAAAAGACCCCCAAATAGCCGAATAGGAATGTTGAAAAAGAAAAGCAAAGCTGGTGGCATCACAATTCCGGACTTCAAGCCCTATTACAAAGCTGTAATCATCAAGACAGTATGTTACTGGCACAAAAACAGACACATAGATCAATGGAACAGAATGGAGAGCCCAGAAATGGACCCTCAACTCTATGGTCTACTAATCTTCGACAAAGCAGGAAAGAATGTCCAATGGAAAAAAGACAGTCTCTTCAACAAATGATGTTGGGAAAATTGGACAGCCACGTGCAGAAGAATGAAACTGGACATTTCTTTACACCACACACAAAAATGGACTCAAAATGGATGAAAGACCTAAATGTGAGACAGGAATCCATCAAAATCCTAGAGGAGAACACAGGTAGCAACCTCTTAGACCTCAGCCACAGCAGCTTCTTCCTAGAAACATCGCCAAAGGCAAGGGAAACAAGGGCAAAAATGAACTATTGGGACTTCATCAAGATAAAAAGCTTTTGCACAGCAAAGGAAACAGTCCACAAAACCAAAAGACAACAGACAGAATGGGAGAAGATATTTGCAAATGACATATCAGATAAAGGGCTAGTATCCAAAATCTATAAAGAACTTATCAAACTCAGTATCCAAAGAACAAATAATCCAATCAAGAAATGGGCAGAAGACATGAACAGACACTTTTCCAAGGAAGACATCCAAAAGGCCAACAGACACATGAAAAAGTGCTCAACATCCCTCCGCATCAGGGAAATCCAAATCAAAACCTCAATGAGATACCACCTCACTCCAGTCAGAATGGCTAAAATTAACAAGTCAGGAAACAACAGATTTTGGTGAGGATGCAGAGAAAGGGGAACCCTCCTACACTGTTGGTGGGAATGCAAGCTGGTGCAGCCACTCTGGAAAACAGTATGGAGGTTCCTCAAAAAGTTGAAAATAGAGTTACCATACGACCCAGCAATTGCACTACTGGGTATTTATCCCAAAGATACAAATGTAGTGATCCAAAGGGGTATGTGCACCCCAGTGTTTACAGCAGCAATGTCCACAATAGCCAAACTATAGAAAGAGCCAAGATGTCCATCAACAGATGAATGGATAAAGAAGATGTGGTATATATATACAGTGGAATATTATGCAGCCATCAAAAAAGAAATCTTGCCATTTGCAATGACGTGGATGGAACTAGAGGGTATTATGCTAAGCAAAATAAGTCAATCAGAGAAAGACATGTATCATATGATCTCACTGATATGAGGAATTCTTAATCTCAGGAAACAAACAGGGTTGCTAGAGTGGGGGCGGGGTGGGAGGGATGGGGTGGCTGGGTGATAGACATTGGGGAGGGTATGTGCTATGGTGAGTGCTGTGAATTGTGTAAGACTGTTGGATCACAGACCTGTATTTCTGAAACAAATAATACATTATATGTTAAAAAAAAAAAAAGATAGTAGGAAGGGAAAAACGAAGGGGGGGAAATCGGAGGGGGAGATGAGCCATGAGAGGCTATGGACTCTGAGAAACAAACTGAGGGTTCTAGAGGGGGGTGGGGTGGGTGGATGGGTTAGCCTGGTGATGGGTATTAAAGAGGGTACATATTGAATGGAGCACTGGGTGTTATATGCAAACAATGAATCATGGAACACTACATCAAAAACTAATGATGTAAGGTGATTCACATAACATAATAAAATTAAAAAAAAGGAAAAGAAAATAGCTCTATTGGTTGTTAATTGCAGGTATGACATCATAATTCTGATTTCTGATTGCCTTCCCAAATTCTTCATCTTAAAATATTATGTATGTACTTGAACCAGATACTTAAAAAGTCAGTGGTTCTTAACATAGGTTTCAATGCTCATATTATGTATTCCTTTGGGAATAGGAGCCCTGTCCTTTGTTCTGAAGGAAGAATTCTTTAGAATGCCACAGATTATAATGGTTTGTAATTGTGTTGGCTTATTATTTATCTTCTGGATTTACTGTGGGTTTCTGAAATGTTTGATTCATTTTTACTATGACTTACAGATAATGGTTTTTAAATATCTTTTATGTATTATGACTGTCATGCACCAATGGTTAATGTTGTAAAATGCCTAGTCTGCATGAATATAGATAGTTTAATTATAGAAATTCAGACCAATATTTTGTTATTCTTACGATGGTGTTTTATCAGGTTCTTCTCATTTTCTCAGTGCTATTTTTATTTTATAATTGTGAATTGCCATTTTTTGTTAGATAAGTTTAAGATATTATTTACCATTACAGTATGTAGTCCTCTGCTTTAGCCTTTATAATTGTACCTAAATAATTAGGTATGTGTATATGCATTAATATAATATTGCTTTCCTTCAAATATGAAACACCCAAATGTCTAGTGCCAATTGGTGAGTACTTTGGGGTGGCAACAGGAAGATACCACTTGTTTCAGGGCTTATGTAAACACTCTGAGTGGTTTGATCATAGGGTGTTGGAACTAGGCTTTCCTGAAAATAATTTTATCTGGGTGTAAACACCCTTTCTTTATTGAGGAATCCGATTCCCTTTATTCCTAAATATTTGCATACTATGGTTGAGAAGTTTTATTACTATATAAGCATTACTTTTGGCCTAATATTATGTTTTCAAGATAAAATATTCACTTTATAACTCTATTAATAGGAAACCTATGGTCCTTTATATCTTTCAGATATCTCTGTTAGAAGTATGATTAAAAAATTATCACCAAAAGAGGATATTAGCAAAGAAGAATTATTCCAAACATTGATGTTGGAAAGACACAAAAGAAATGACATCAAGGATTTGGGTTTCAGAGAAGTCCAGCAAAATATGTATGAGTTTGAAAGTCAGTATACGTATGATGAAACAAATTACAGAGGAGTAACCGCAGCCCATAACCAAAATTTCACTGGTAGAAGAGATCAACAGCATAACAAATCCTGGAATGATTTCCCTCTAAAGCAGAGTGTTTCTGTAAGAAAAAGTACTTATCGAAGTTACAAACATGAGAAGTCATATAAAAGGTATTTGTTAAAACTAAAAAATAACATGACCTGTGCAGGAAACAAGTATATAAAATGTTTTGAAAATGGAATTGGATTAAAGTTTCAGTCGCATCTGGCTGACCTTCAGAAGTTTCAAACTGAAGAGAAAATTTATGAATATAATCAAGTTGAGTTGATCAATGGTAGTTTTGTTTCACCACTTCAAAGAATTCTTCCTAGCATCAACATGAACATTTGTAATAAATCTGGGAAACTTTTTATGCATCCTTCATTACTTAGACATCAAAAAACACCTATTAGTGAAAAACCTTACCAATGTAATGATTGTGGGAAGGCTTTTAGAGAAAGCTCAAACCTCATTAATCATCAGAGAATTCATTCTGAGCAGAGGCCTTACAAATGTAATGAGTGTGGCAAAGCCTTCACCCAATTTGCAAAACTTACTAGACATCAGAGAATCCATACCAGAGAGAAACCATATAAATGTAATATATGTGGCAAGGGCTGTAGTCAAAATTCAAATCTTGCACGGCATCAGAAAATTCATACTGGAGAGAAACCTTACAAATGTAATGAGTGTGGCAAAGTCTTTTCTGAGTATTCAAGCCTTACTCGACATAAGAGAATCCATACTGGGGAGAAGCCTTATAAATGTAATGAATGTGGGAAGACTTTTAGAGGAAGCTCGAATCTCACCAATCATCAGAGAATTCATTCTGGGCAGAGACCTTACAAATGTAATGAGTGTGACAAATCCTTTAACCGCATATCACACCTCACTAGACACCAGAGAATCCATACTGGAGAGAAACCATATAAATGTAGTGTATGTGACAAGGTCTGTAGTCAACATTCAAATCTTAGAATTCATCAGAGAGTTCATACAGGAGAGAAGCCTTACAAATGTGACGAGTGTGGCAAAGCCTTTATGGAGCGTTCAAGCCTTACTCAACATAAGAGAATCCATAGTGGAGAAAAACCTTACAAATGTAAGGAATGTAGCAAAGCCTTTAACCAGTCCTCTAACCTTGTCATACATCAGATAATTCATACTGGAGAGAAGCCTTATAAATGTAACGAGTGTGGCAAAGCCTTTAATGTGTGTTCAAGCCTTACCCGACATCAAAGAATCCATACTGGGGAGAAGCCTTATAAATGTAATGAATGTGACAAGGCCTTTACCCAATTTGCAAATCTTACTAGACATCAGAAAATGCATACTGAAAAGAAACATTGTAAACCTAATATATGTGGAAATGCTTTTATCCCAAGATCAAGCACTGGGGATTATCAGAGAATTTGTAGTGAAGAGAAACCTCACAAATGTCATGTGTGTAGCAAAACCTTTAATGTGTGTTCAAGCCTTACTCAACATCAAAGAATCCATACTGAACAGAAACCATGTAAGTCATGTATTTGGCAAAGCCTGTAACCAGGGCTCACAGTTAATTAGACACCAGAATATGCATCTTTGAAAGAAAGCACAAAAATGTAATGGGTATGGCAAGGCTTTTATCCAAAGATCAAGCATATGTAATATTATCTCCTACTGGAGAGAAACCTTATAAATGTAATGAATGTGTTAAACTTTTATCAGATGTTCAGATGTTTACCTGAGGGGTCATGAGAGAATTCACATCAGAGAGAAAACATACAAATGTATTGAAAATGATAAGGCCTTTAGACAATGATCTGACCTCAGGATTCACCAAAGAATTTACATTGTAGAGAAACCTTAAAACTGTAATGAATGTGATAAATTATTTAACCATTTCTCACAATCAGCTACACATCAGATAATTCATAGTAGAGAAAACAGTCTCTTAAGTTCTTCTGAAAGATTATTCAATTAAATTCTAAATAAATTTAATAATTGATAATTGATTAATTAAAAATCAAAATTATAATACCTATAATTGCTGTTAAAGTTACAAGGATCCCCATGGAAAGGTCCTGTTACCTTCACTTTATTAAATAGTTTATTTCAGGTTTCTTGAACAGGCCAAATTACTATCAATGATTTTCATCCTGAGGTTTGAAATCTGTTGATAATATACAATGTGCAATGGCCAATGTGATAATTCCTAAATTATCCTAAATTATCAATTATAGGAAATTTCCATTATAGGAAATTATCAATTCCTAAAGGAAGTCAGAAGGAGGAAAAAAAGGAATAAGGGAACTACAAATTAGCCAGAAAAGCAATTGATAAGATGGCATCAGTAAGCCCTTACCTATCAATAATTAGTCTGACTATAAATGAATGAATTATCCAGTCAAAGACCTACAGTGACTGGATGGCTTAAAAAAAAAAAAAAAGTTTCTCCCTTTGCAACCCTGTTGGGACCCCTCTCACTATTGAGAGCTTTTTCTGTATCTTCACTTAATAAACTACTATCGCTTTACTCAAAAAACAAAACACAAACAAAAAACACTCAAGTGAATGCTGCTGACAAAAGAGATTTAAGGACACACATAGGCTCAAAGTGAGGGGATGGAAAGAGATTCCATGCAAATGGAAACCAAAAGAGAGCAGGAGTCACTCTAGTTATATCAGATACAATAAACTTCAAGTCCAAAGGTGTAACAAGACAAGGTGATTATATAATAAAAAGGGATCAGTTCATCAAGGGGATATAACAATTATAAACATATATACACCTAACACTGGAGTACCTAAATATATCAAGCAAATACTAACAGATCTAAAGGCAATAAGAAATAGCAATAAGCATAGGGAACTTCAATACCCTACTTGCAACGATGGATAGAATATTCTGACAGAAAATCATCACAAAAACATTGGACTTGAGCTATTCTTCAGACCGAAAGGACCTAACAGACATATACAGATTATTTCATCCAACAGAACCAGAATATGCATTCTTCTCAAGCACACGCACAACATTACCCAGGATAGGTCCTATGTTAGGTCTACAAAATGCACCTTAGTAAATATAAGAATGAAATCATACCAATTATCTTTTCTGAACACAATAGTATGAAACGATAATAGGATTAAAAATGGAAAGCTCACAAATGTGTGGAAATTAACACACTACTCAACAACTGAGGAGTCAAAGAAGAAATGAAAAGAGAAACGATATTCTGAAACAAATGAAAATAGAAACACACCCTGACAGAACTTATGGGATGGATCAGAAGAAATTCTAGAAGGAATGTTGATAGCAATACCTACATTAAGGAAAAAATTTTCAAACAACCTACCTTTACCCCTCAAGGCACAAGAAAAAAAAAAACTAACCCCAAGTTAGCAGAAGGAAAATAATGATCAGCACAGAAATAAATGAAATAGGAAAAAACAATAGAAAAGATTAAGGGAACTGAAGACTACTTTTTAAACAGTTTTTAAATTCCAGTTAACACGGTGTTATATTTGCTTCAGGTGTACAATGTGGTGTTTCAACACTTTCATACATCACCCTGTGCTCACCACAAGGACACTCCTTAAACCCCATCACCTACTTAACCCATCCCTCCCACACTCCTCCCCTCTGGTAATCATCAGCTTGGTCTCTATAATTAGGAGTCTGTTTCTCTGTTTGTCCCCTCCTCCCCTCCTTTTTCCCTTTGCTCATTTGTTTTGTTTCTAAATTCCACATATGAGTGAAATCATAAGTTATTTATCTTTGAGTTACCTTGCTTAGCATTATACTCTCTACGTCCATCCGTGTCATTGCAAATGGCAAGATTCCATTCTTTTTATGGCTGAATAATATTTCAAGGTACATATATACCACATCTCCATGTATCAGTCATTCGACACTTGGGCTGCTTCCATATCTTGGCTATTGTAATTAATGCTGCTATAAACATAGGAGGGCTTGTATCCCTTTGAATTAATGTTTTTGTATTCTTTGGGTAAATACTCAGTGTGATTGCTGGGTCATTAGGTAGTTCTATTTTTAACTTTCTGAGGACCCTCCATACTGTTTTCCACACTGGCTGCACCAGTTTGCATTCCCACCAACAATAGTGCACAAGGGTTCCCTTTTCTCCAAGTCCTTGCCAACATGTGTTTCTTTTGTTGTTAATTTTAGACATTCTCACATGTGTGAGGCGATATCTCATTGTAGTTTTGATTTGCATTTCCCTAATGATGTGATGATGAACATCTTTTCATGTGTCTCTTGGCCATCTGGATGTCTTCTTTAGAAAAATGTCTATTCATGTCTTCTCGTTTTTAAATTGGATTAGTTGTTTTTGGGTGTTGAGTTTTATAAGTTCTTTATATATTTTAGATACTAGCCCTTTACCAGATATGTCATTTGCAAATATCTTCTCCCATTCTATAGGGTGCCTTTGAGTTTTGTTGACTGTTTTCTTCTCTGTGCAGAAGCTTTTTATTTTGATGAAGTCCCATTTGTTTATTTTTCCTTTTGTTTCCCTTGCCTCAGGAGACATATCTAGGAAAAAGTGCAATGGCCAATGTGAAAGAGGTTACTGCCTGTGTTCTGTTCTAGGTTTTTTACAGTTTCAGGTCTCATAGTGATTTTTATAGTTTCAGATCTCATATTTAGTGACCACATAATTATGGGTTTATTTATGGACTTTCTGTTCTGTTCCATTGAGTTATGTGAATATTTTTGTGCCAGTACCATACTGGCACAAAACCATAGTTTTGATTACTACAGCTTTGTAATATAACTTGAAGTCCAGAATTGTGATGACTCCAGCTTTGCTTTTCTTTTTCAAAATTGTTTTGGCTCTTTAGGGTCTTCTGCAGTTCCATACAAATTTTAGAATTGTTTGCTGTAGTTCTGTGGAAAAATGCTGCTGGTATTTTGACAAGGATTGCATTAAATGTGTAGATTGCTTTGGGTAGTATAGACATTTTAACAATATTTGTTCTTCCAATCTCTTAGCATGAAGTGTCTTTTCTTCCTTCCTCCCTCCCTCTCTCCCTCTTTCTTTTTTTTCCTCTTTCCTTTTTTTTTTTTTTATTTGTCTTTCCATTTGTTTGTGTCATCTTCAGTTTCTTACAACAGTGTTTTATAGTTTTCAGAGTACAGGTCTTACAGGAATTTCACCTCTTTGGTTAGGTTTATTCCTAGGTATTTTATTATTTTGGGTGCAATTGTAAATGGGATTGTTTTCTTAATTTCTCTTTCTCCTGCTTCATTATTGTATAGAAATACAACAGATTTCTGTACATTGATTTTTGTATCCTGCAACTTTACTGAATGTGTTTATCAGTTCTAGTAGTTTTTTGGTGGAGTCTTTGTATTCTCTATCTATAGTATGTCATCTGCAAACAGTGAAAATTTTACTTCTTCCTTACCAATTTGGATGCCTTTTATTTTTGTTGTTGTTGTTGTCTGACTGTTGTGGCTAGGACTTCCAATACTATGTTGAATAAAAGTGGTGAGAGTGGACATCTTTGTCTTGTTCCTGACCTTAGGGGAAAAGCTCTCAATTTTGCCACATTGAGGATGATGTTAGTTGTGGGTTTTCCATATAAGGCCTTTGTTATGTTGAGATATATTCCCTCTAAACCTATATTGTTGAGGTGTTTTTTTTTTTTTATCATGAATGGATGTTGTACTTTGTCAAATGCTTTTTCTTTATCTACTGAAATAATCATATGGTTCTTATCCTTTCCCTTATTGATGTGATGTATCACATTGATTTGCAAATATTGAACCACCCTTGCAACCCAGGAGTAAATCCCGCTTGATCATGGTGTATGATTCTTTGAATTTGGCTGAATTTGGTTTGCTAGTGTTTATTTAGGTTTTTTGCATCTATGTTCATCATGGATATTGGCCTGTAGTTCTCTCTTTTTTTTAGTGGTGTCATTATCTTGTTTTGGTATCATGATAATACTGGCCTTGTAGATTGAATTTGGAAGTTTTCCTTCCTTTTTCTTTTTTTGGAAAAGTTTGAGAAGAGTAGGTATTAACTCTTCTTTAAATGTTTGGTAGAATTCACCTGTGAAGCCATCTGGCCCAGACTTGAGAGTTTTTTGATTACTGATTCAATTTCTTTGCTGGTTGTCAGTCTGTTCATTTTTTATGTATTCCTTTCTCCAGTTTTGGAAGTTTATGTTCTAGGAATTTATCCATTTCTTCTAAGCTGTCCAGTTTGTCGGCATATGGTATTTCATAACATTCTCTTATAATTGTTTGTATTTCTGTGGTGTTGGTTGTTATTTCTCCCTCTTGTTTGTGATTTTATTTATTTGAGTCATTTCTCTTCTTGATAATTCTGGCTAGAGGTTTATCAATTTTATTGATTTTTTTTTTCAAAGAACCAGCTCCTGGTCTCATTGATCTGTTGTTTTCTTAGTTTCTGTATCATTTATTTCTGCCCTATTCTTTACTGTTTCCTTCCTTCTGCTGTTTTTGGGTTTTGTTTTTCTTTTTTTGGC